TATGTTTGTTCTACATCTTTTAATCGATAACATGGATATCCAATTAATTGTTGTGTTTTTATTGCTTCTTTCATACAAAGATATCCCATTTTACCAACAGGATCTGTAGTATAAATACTACAATTTGGATTTTTATTTGCAATATAAGGTAATGCTCCCATATGTCTTAAGTCTGAATGACTAATTAAAACAATATCAATGTCTGAGATTGAATCATATTTCTCAATTATTTCACGTGTAAAATTACAATCTACTCCACAATCTAATAATATCTTCGTTGAATTAATTTCTAATAACGCTGAAATTGGTGAAGTTTTTCCTCCATCAAACAATGATCGAGTTCTTATACTCATTGTATTGTTAAATTCCTTTTTTTTTAATTCTTTTATTTTATTTTATTTTATTTTTTCTTTTTTTCTTTTTTGATTTGAACAATTTCATTTTTATATTTTACTTTTTTTTACTCTTAAAAATAATTTCTTCTTATTATCACAATCACTACTTTAATGTTTTTTAAATAATAACGTGTTGTACTATAACTGGTACTTCTTTTATTTTTATTCCATTATTTTTGATAACTAATATCAAATATAAAATCAATGAATAAATAAATGAATATTTTACTATTAGAATATATTTAAATTATTCTTTTTATACTATTCAAGTGAGTAAATAAAAATAAATTCATTATTCAATACTTATTTGATAATTATCTTAAAAATTAGTTATTTTATTTTAACATAAAAGTAACAAAAAACATAATATCTCTATAATGTATAATTATAGTGTTTATTGTACCCATTTAATAAAAATTTAAGGTAATACCATTTTTGTTTTAAGGAGTTTAATCGAATTATAACGTTATTATTCAATCTTTATTTAAATACATTATTGAATCATTTTAAATTAGTGATAAAGGTTTAAGTTCAAAAAAAGGAAAAAAAAAAGAATCAACAACAATGATATTAAAGAATTTAAAAGATATTAATTACAAATAATAATATTTATTTTAATTGTTTAATACTTTAAAGAAGAACCTTTTTTTTTAAATAATGAACAAGAAGATTAGAGAATAGTTATTAGAGGGAATAAAATTAGTACAATTATGAGGTATAGACTTTACTTCCACTCTAACTTTTAATATTTTTGTACTGTTTGTTGTTAGTTTAAAATAAAAAAAATTGTTTCTTTAAATAAAAGAAAAACAAATGAACTAAAAATATTTTTAAAATACACTATAATGCAAACAACAATTAAAGGGAATGTTGTCAAAGGATTTCAAAGAGGAAGAACTATAGGATACCCTACAGCAAATATTAATCCAACAATTGAATTAGAACAAGGAGTTTATTATGGACAAGTTAAATTAATGGGAAAAGTTTATCATGCAGCAATTTCAGTTGGAAAAAATCCAACATTTTGTTTAAAAAATATTGTTGTAGAAGTTCATATTTTTGAACAATTTAAAGACGAATTTTATGGAGAAGAAATTGAAGTAAAAATAATGAAATTTTTAAGAGGAATGAAAAAAGTAAATGGAATTGATGAATTAAAGAAAATGATTAGTAATGATTGTAATATTATTGAAAATGAAATAATTCCAAATACCCCATTAATTAATATAACTGACTTTTAAATAGATTTATAAAATTAATTTATTTTAGTTTTTCAATATTTATATTTTTCAATTACGTTTTATTAATATATTGATGCATCTTTTGGTTTTAAATTTGTTGTATTATTTATGTATTGAAGTTTAATGAATTATTTAAATTAAAATGACTAAATAATAAATTGAATAAGTAATATAAAAATGATAATAAACAAGTTATTCAATAAAGATTAATTATAATAATTGGTAATTGAAAAAGAAAAGAAAAAGTAATTAATTAAGTATTAATAGAATTTTCATCTATTCTTCCTAGCTCAGGGGAGACTAATCCCATCCCTGAGCTTATTAAAAAAGAGTAATCTCTTTGTTGAACCTATTCTTTATGTTTTTCTTGCAAAATGAGGAAAGCACTTCTTTGCTTTATTTCTTCCTATTAAGGTTTTTCAAACTTCTTCTGCTTATTTCTTCTTTTTAAGCCTTTGTTTGTTTTCTGCCTTAATTTTAAGGAATTTCATTTTTCTTATTTTATGAATGGGAGAAGAGACTATTTCATTCCTACTATATTACTTTGACTAATCTTCTTTTTAGTCTTGCTTTGACTAATCTTCTTTTTAGTCTTGCTTTGACTAATCTTCTTTTAGTCATACCCACACTTCAGTAGATTCTTATATTACATCCATGTAATATTCTACTGTATTCTCTTGCTGCACCCTTTGCAGCATTCCCTAATACATTCCTAATTCAAAGGCACCGTCATAACCAGATAATAACTGGGAGAGTCGAAGTATGAATTTGTACTAGGGTTTGTGTGTGGTGTTTCAGACGTGCCACCTTCGATCTATAATTGGTAATTGAAAAACAAATAGAAGTAATAAAAAACATTTTTAACTTAAAAAAAATAAAGAAAAAGAATATTGTTTTGACTAATATTTATGAAAGATAAATTGATTAGATATTTCAGTACATTAAATCATCAAATAATTAATAAATAAATATGAAAAAAATACTACTAAACAAGAAAGTAATCATTATTATATACAAAACATAGAAATTACTTTATACTATTTTTCATTACTCAAAAGAAAAATGTAAAAGAAATTATTTGTTTATTTTTACAATAAAGAATTTATTAATTCATTAAATTAATATTATTTCATAAGCAGGGTTTTTTTAAATGAGAATTTATTGACAGACAAAATTTAAATTAAGTTAAGAATATATAAATATTATTAAATAAGTTTTTATCAAATAAATTTTTAAATATCTTTTAAGTATAACAAATAATATTTTAATTGAATAGTTTATATTTAACAATTATTAGTTAATTTGTCTCAAATAAGTAAATATAAAATTATTGTATTGAATTAAACGAAAAATTACTGAATTATGTTTCAGTAGATATTGATTTTTCTACTTTATGTTGCTGAAGTGAGATTATTTATTGTCTTTGACTCTTTTTCAAGTTTTATTCATGATGTACTTCTATATCTCTATATTTTCCTCTAAAGTCAAAATCATTGTATTTAATTAATAAATATTATAAAATAAATCAAAATGAATGTTTATTCTAATAAATATATTTTTATTAATATTCTTTATTAAATATTGTAAAATTATTCGTTTTTAATGTAAATTGAAAGAATTTTTGTTGACACAATTCAATCTTTTTCAATGAGAATTAATTATGTTATTTATTTTCTTTTTATTTTCCTGTTATTTACAAATAATTGAATTTAAGAATAATTCTATTTTTATTATATAACAAACCCTTACATTTTACTTTGAATTAATTATTTTATTATTATATTTTTTATCATTTTAAATATATTTCGATTCATTTATTTTACCAAAATTAACAAAATGCCTTATTTAAAGAATAACAGAAAATAGAACTTGAAAAAAAGAGAACTATAAAAAGAAAAAAAAGAAAAAGTAAAAAAAAGAGAGAAAAAAAAGAAAAGATAACCCTCCACTTAAACCCTAAAATGACCTAAAAAAAACATTCTCCCCAACCTGGTATGACCACTGCTCAAAGTAATTTTTCAGACTTTGCTGAAAACAAAACTATTTTTGTTAGTGGATTATCACTTAATGTTACAGAGTCAGTCTTATATGGAACAGTTTTAAAAGAATTCCCAAACCAGGTTTTAAATGTCCATATTAATAAAGATAATTCACATGATACTTCTATTGCTTATATCAATATGAACACACATGATTCTGCTGCACAAGCTATTAGTAAATTAAATGGAACTATAATTGAAGGAAGAAAAGTTAATATGTTCTGGTCACTTAGAGATTATAAGCTTAGAACACAATCAGAAACTAATTTATATGTTAAAGGAATTAAGAAAGAAATTGGACAACAAAAAATGCAAGAAGTATTTGATAAGTATGGAAATACTTTATCAGTTAAATTAAGTACTAATGAAAAGAATGAATCAAATGGATTTGGATATGTTAAATATTGTACTGTTGATGAATGTAAAAAGGTTATTGCTGCTAAAGAAGAAATTAGTAAAGAAATTGGAGAAGCATCATTTGATATTGTTAAATTTGAAAAACAAAATAAGAGCCTTAAAACAAATATTTATATTGGAAATATTGATGCTACTGTTACTGAAGAACAATTCCTTAAATATTTTGAAACATTTGGTCCAATTAGAAAAGACGCTAGTGGTAAATTAGCATATAAAATTGTTCTTGATCAAGCTCACCAAAAGAATAAAGGATTTGTTAATTATGAAAATGTTGAAGACGCTCAAAAAGCTATTAGTTCTCCAAAAACAGGAGTTCTTGGATCAGGAGAAATTCTTATTGATTATTATAAGTCTAAAGAAGAAAGAAAAAAAGAATGGAGAAATGCTTTATTTGAAATCAAGAATAATGTTGCTGGAAGATATAAAGATTTTAATTTGTATATCAATACTGGAAAGAATCATACCACTAGTGATGCTGAGATTAGGGAGAAGCTCGGTTCTTGTGGTGAAATTTACAGTTTACAAGTTAAGTATTATAATAAACAACCAACTGAAGTTGCTTATTGTTGTTTCAAAGATGCTCAAGGTGCTCAAAATGCTTTAGCTAAAGCTAGTGAATTAGGATGGACTATTAATAAATTCATGACCAAACAAGAGAAGTTCATTTCTCAAAATATGTATGCACAAACTGCATATCCAATTAACTTCTTTAACTTCTTTCAAATGTTCAATCCAAATGTTATTGTTCCACAACATCCACAAAATCAAAACAAAGAAAAAGATCATCGTAAGAAGTCTACAAGAGAAGAATCAAGAAAACCAAAACCAATTGCTGAAAAACAACCTAAAGTTGAAAAAGCACCAATTATTAATGAGGATATGAAGAATGAACTTGGTGATCAACTTTATGATTATATCTTAAGTCTTGGACTTTATGATGAAGACCTTACTGGTAGAATTACTGGTGTTCTTCTTGAGTCTATTGAATATGCTGATCTTAAGAAGAAGATTGATACTAAATCTCCAGAATTGACTGTCATCATTAAAGAAATCGTTGAAAATTTGAAGAAGATTCAAAATTAATGAAGAGAAGCAATAAGACTAGTAGTTCGTTCTTTTATTTTTATTGTTTTATTTTTTTTATTTTAAAAAGTCTTTTTAAAATAAGGAAGTGATATTATTTACTAATTGTTTTTATAAATTAACTTTGTATTTATTTCTTTTGAATATTTTTAATAGAACAAACTCTTTCAGATAATAAAATATTAAATAATTTAAATTTATTTGGTTATTGTATTTATTAATTTAGAATTAATATTTTTTATATAATACTATAATATATATTTATTTAATTAATTGTATTTTATTTATTAGTATTTCATTTGTTTAAAATATTCTTCTGTTAATTATTTATAAATTAGTATATTATTATGGTTTTGGTTTAATTTAATATATCAAGTTAACTAAACCCTTTTTATTTCATATTGTTCAATGGCTAATTAATTCTTCCTTTTTGACTGTGCAAATTTAATGTCTAACATTATTTTGTTACTTGTTTTTATAAACATAAAACATACCCTTCTTATTTATTTTATTGTTGTTTAAAACTTATTGAAATTTTATTCTTTTCCTATACTTATTCTATTCTTTATAAATCTTATTCTATGAATTGAGTTTAGTGTCAATATACATGTTTTGTTAGTTTGTTACATTTATTATTGACAATCTCTTTTTATACTTCTTGTTCTTTGTTATTTATATCCTTCTTTATTTATTACTCTCTTTCTTACTCTAAACAGATATTTTTTATAATTTCTTTTTTTCTGTTCTAATTTACTTTTGTTATTCTTTTTATGGTTTTAATTTGTTTATTTCTCTTTTTTTCCTTTCTCCTAACACTGTTTTGCACGTTCACTTTGCTTCATCTAAGTGTTTCTTCTTTAAGATGTATTTATTCGTGTTGATTTTATCTTTTTTATAATGCTTTAAATCAACTGGTTAATTTCTTTTGACAAATATAAAATAGATTCTTATTATTAAAAAAATGATATTGTGTAAGAAAAATTGATATTGCTTGAATTTATTTTTTATCTCAATGAACTTTTTTGGTTTTATTTCTTTCATTTGTTAGTGAAATAAACTTTAAAAAAGAAGCATTACAAGAAACACCACAAAAAATATAAAATCAAAAGCAATTTATGAAATACTAATTGAACTAGACTCTATTCTTCCTGACTCGGGGGAGACTAACTAATTCTATATGTATTTTTCAAACATCTTTAAAGAGTATATTTAGCTGTGATAAAAGCAGTATTCCATGACGTTAATCATGTTTTTTATGACAAAGTTTTTAATTTCTTTCTCGATGTCAATGTCAATTTTTAATTCTTTAATTAATTTAATACTTGAGTTATTCACTATTCTATTGATTGAGATTACTACTGGTATTATTTTGACATCTTTTAACTTTTCTATTTTCATTAGCCTATTCTTTAATTCATTATACTTATTTCTTTTCTTCATTTACACTCCATTAATATTGTG